TCTCTCTCTCTCTCTCTCTCTCTCTCTCTCTCTCTCTCTCTCTCTCTGTTTTTTCCCTGACAACCCAAAATGCCAATCAAATAGCCCAATTCTATTTCAAAACATAAGGCTAGACACAAGACTAGACTTCTGGAACCTAGAGAGAAGCACAAGATATGTTGGTATGGGGCTGATATTCTAAGTGGGAAGGTTAAATAAGTCTATGAAAATAATCAGCCACTTAGCCAGGAGGCTGAGCAGAACATTCTGAGTGGACAAAGTGCTAGAAGCCATATAGTAAGAAGCTAGACATTTAATTAGACAGCATTTAATAATATATCACATACAGGGAGAAAGGGAGGGATTAAAAGCTAGGGTCCTCAAGGTTGGGGGGAAGCCAGCTCTGACCAATCGGGAAGGATGAGACAGGGAAGCAGAGGCAAGGTCCAGAGCAGCCGTGATGAGCTGGACGGGAACTGAGTCCATGGAAAAGGGCAAGAAGATTGGAAAGGGGCCACCACTGGGACGTTGAGCCGTGAATGACAGGCAGAGGAAGAAAAACTCTTGAGATAAAGGAAACAAAAAGCAATGATGGTCTCCATGGGGGCCAGAATAGAGCAGACTATGGATGTCTGTTCCTAGAGCTGGTTCCGGATTCTGAACCCTCTGGGATTCTTCAGGAAGGTTGAAGGGCGGCTGCTGGCCAGAGATTCACGTGTGCTTTCCCCTCACCCATAGGAGCCGCGGCAGGCACAATAGAGACAAAGGGGAACATCTCTGCAGAGGAAGGTAGCTCTGTCATCTTACAGTGTCACTTCTCATCTGACACAGCTGAGGTGACCCAAGTCAACTGGGAGCAGCGAAACCAGCTTCTGGCTGTTTATAATGTTGACCTGGGGTGGTATGTCTCTTCAGTCTTCAGTGAACGGGTGGTCCCAGGCCCCAGCCTAGGCCTCACCTTCCAGTCACTGACAGTGAATGACACAGGAGAGTACTTCTGCATCTATCATACCTACCCTGATGGAATTTACAAGGGGACAATATTCCTGAAGGTCCAGGAAAGCTCAGGTATGTTCTTTGAACCAGGGTGCTGGTGAGCCTCTTTCTCTCACATAGAAACCACCACCCTGACACACTCTAGGAAGTAGAGTGTCTCTGTCAATCCTGGAGCACTTTGGACTCATTAGAGGAACTTTTAGGGCATAGTAGAGATGGAGCAACTGAAACTGATGAAATTAGACTCTTGTGGGGGCAGAGCTAGGATCTGATAGGTTCCAGAAACATCCAGCTGATTCTCGTGCACGACCACTGATTTTGCATAGGAAATCCATCTTACCTAAAAGGATGAGACTTACAGATGAGGTCATACATGAAAGGTGCTCACTTAATGACTTAGTATCAGTCATGCAAATTAGAATTAGCTCTTAAGTTTGAGCTGATCTGAAACAGGCCACAGCATGTATGATAGTCCCCCACCTTTGCATGATGAAGCTTCAAGCTTCCAAATGTCCTCATAATGATTACTCTCCTACAAACATGAGCCAGTTTTACTGAGGGAAAGGATTATGGAAATCGTATCTGAGAGATAGTTTAGCCAGGGAGTAAAGTGCTCAGCCTCAGATGGCAGACAGGCTAGGTCCACACCTTGCTGATGGACTTATTTGTTCATCTGTCCAATGAAGATGGGTGTAAGATTTTATGAGCTGCTAACGTGGGCTTGAGCAACCTACTATAAGAAAAAGCCCTTAGCATGGCATCAGGAATATAGCAAGTGCCGTGTTAGGTGTTGATCATGAGTATGATTCCCATGTGATTGATGGTGGTAGAGACTAATGAAGGCTTGGAATTGCTTAGGGTGATAAAGCTGATTTTACATCAGATGAGGAATGCCACACTCAGAACTGCATACTATCAGTTATACCGGAGTTTAGGGTAAGAACATATATGAATTAAAATTATGTTGGAATTTAGGTTTCATGAGTTTTAAGAACATACATACATTGAAATGATGAAAGTTTACCTTAACGTTTCCTTTCAAACATTGCTTCTTGGCACCTGTGCAGTGTGCATACTATCTCTATCTCTGTTCTTCCTGAGTGAGCCATGGCTATGACCAACAAGGGGCTAGCCTGGCCTATCCTGTCTAAGTCCTCAGAGCAGGAGGAGCATGCTGGAACTTTGGAGTTCTTAGGCATAGTCCTTATTCCAAGGGATCAAATATTTTAGCCTTCTTTCCTACAATTCCTGGTGTTCAGGGAAGTGAGCCAGGTTTTTTCTTATTTCAAGTCTTCCTAGGATTCTGGGGTTCCTGCCCAAGTTCCTGGAGAAGAGAGAAAGATGGGAGGAAGTTAAGGTTGGAAGAGCCTCCCTCCTTCCAGGGTTTCACACCTGAACTTATGGCTAAGATATAAAGTTATATGCTTTTCTTTGCATAATTCAATGTTAATTTTGTTTCAATTTTGAATTAACCTGTTTTTACTGAATATATATATATATATATATATTTACTTTATTGTATATGTATTGAATTAACCTATTTTTATTGTTATATACGTATATATAAATTTTTATTTTATTGTATGCTTATCATTTATTTACTTATTTTACGTGTATGAGTGTCTTGGTAGCACATATATCTATGCATTACCTGTGTTCTGGTGTCTGTGGAGGCCAGAAGACTCTAGATCAAAAGACTGGGATCATAGATGGTTGTGAGCTGCCCTGTAGGTGCTAGGAATCAAACCTAGGTCCTCCAGAAGAGCAGCCAGTGTTCTTAACCACTGAGGCACTTTTCCATCACTCCAAGTGTTGAACAAGGAAAGGCTGACAAAATCTGGTCTAGGTGTCCACAAGGCGTATCATTCCTCTGGACATTGGCCACCAACTCCACTGGAGACCAGGTAGATTCTCTGCAGACCACAAAATTAAGGTTAAAGTTTCTTTTTTTTAAAAAAAAAAATATTTATTTTTTTCTTAGATCGTAATTCATTCACACAGGGGTTATAAACACAGAAAGGCAGGATGTGGGGAAGGGGATGACACTGGAGTGTGGGTGTTCAGGGGGAATACAGATATCTTTCAGAACTGGGTATCGGCTGGGTGAAGGTTCAGGGGACAAGTCACTATGACTCTGCCTATGACTCACTTGTCCTTATCTAAGATGGTATTATCCGCCAAGGCTACCTATTTACAAGGTCTATGACTACTCAGGCTGGTAAATTTCCACAAAAGCTGCCTGTTTACAATATCTCATAGCCATCTGTTTCCATGTTTTTCCACTGAGACCCAAGATTCTTAACAGGGGACAGTTCTATAGCATCTCACCTCTGTCCTGGAACTCACTATGAAGACTAACCTGGCCTCAAATCAGAGATCTGCATGCCTCTTGGCTCTTAAGTGCTGAGATCAAAGACAAGCACCCCCATGACAGGAACTGATTTTCGGGTGTTTTGTTTTGTTTTGTTTTGTTTTGTTTTGTTTTTTTTTTGAGACAGTTAAGGATGCCTTCAATTCAGCGGCTTTGCTCCTGACCTCTGACACTCACCTCTGTGTTGTTCTCCCTGTAGTGGCTCAGTTCCAGATTGCCTTGCTGGGAGGAACCATGGCCGCCGTGCTGGGATTCATTTGTCTAATGGTCACAGGTGTGACCATACTGGCTAGAAAGGTAAGGGATAGGACAGAGCCTGTCTTGGTCCCCATCACCCCATTCTCCTCGCCCTGGTGACTGCTGATTCCCTTTCAACTCAGACAGCCCCTCATGTGATCTCTGCCCTTGTTCCTTGTGCCTTTTCGTGGTCCACGTCCTGCAGTTTAATGCAGTTATTTTATGTTCCTTCCAGTCCCTCCTCCAGGCTGCGAGCTCCCAGAAGGACACAGCTACATTTTGCCCATCTTTCTGCCTCACACAGTTGCTGCCTGTCCTTTGGGCCACTGTCTGAGAGTTCACCTACTGTGAGTTTGGTGCATCACAGAGGTTGTCTACTGGGGCTTGGGCTTGTAGTTCCTTTAGTCTCCACAGTCCATGGGCTGCACTGCGACTCCCCGTATTAATGTAGGTTCAGTAATCAGGATTCCAAATTTGGAGAGTCGAAGACACATGGCAAAATCAGACATTACTGCCTTGAGTTTAAGAGGCCATTGGCTGAAAGAGTCGGGGGAGGGGAACTGGAGGAGAATTTTAGTTTCTAGCTGGGCACTGAAGCCATGATTTTAAGCTCCTTATTTAACTTTTCAAGGTCTCCATTGCTTTGATGTAAGATGGGAGGCTAGAGTTCTGTCCTATATCACAAAGTTGTGATCCATGGCTGTCAGGTGTCAGGCTTTCTCAGTAATTCTTGTTGTGCGGTAATCTGGTAGCTATTGGTTGGGATGAGCTAAAAATATTCCCAATCCTTTTTGGTCTGGTTGCCTTGGCACTTTAAGCCAGCCCAGCTCACCCACTTCAATTCACTATGAAAACATTTTAGGGGACGCAGCCTGTGATGCGGACACTGCTTTCTACTTTCCTGAAATTTTCTTCGCTTCCTCTCCCACTGTGTTTCCTAATATTTCATCTTGCTGGCCCCAGGCTTACTCTCAAGGTTAGATGATTGGGACTAGTAGCAATGATGTCTGTGGAGTGAAAGATGCCTTATTCTTAGCTTTTGAAAGATTTATTTATTTGTTTATGTATGTTATATATAACTTCAAAATATTCAATATATAATGTTATATTTATATACATTGTATTTTAATTATATATATTTAGAATACATATTGAAATTAAAATATAATCACATTGTTTTCCCCTTTCCTATCTTCCCCCTTGACCCCCCTCCCTCATTTTCTTGATGACCTTGGTCTCACCCGTTTCCCTCGTTTTCTTCAGTTGTTGATACATACATTCCTGAATCTATAAACAACCTGGTCAATTGACATGTTACTTGTATATAGATGATTTCAGGGCTGACCACTGGTATTTAGATTTATATACTTTGTGTGTATGAGTGTTTGGCCTGCATATATCTCTGGGCACCAAGAGTGATGCCCTTGGAAGTCAGAGGAGGGCATTGGATCCCTGGAACTGGAATTACGGATGTCTGAGCCACCATGTGGGTGCTGGGAATTGAATCCACTTCCTCTGCAAGAACAGCAAGCGCCGTTAACTGCTGAGCCAGCTCTGCAGCTCCCATAGCTGCTGTACTTCTTCCTTTAAATTTCCCCTTGGTTTGCTGTTTCTTGAAAGCTCACATTGTTATATGAAACACCTGTTTGTTAGGAATGTATTCTGGTATTCTTTTAGTGGTTATAGTAGGCATCACACATTTACCTGGACTTATTCAAGTTCCTCTATTCTAGTGCCAATCAGTCAGTGTTCTGTAACCTCTTAGAATATGCAAGACCCTTCTATCAGCTCAGCTCTTCTTGTCTGTGCTCTGCATTGCTCCACCATCACCCTGCTGCCCAGTCCTATCTGTTTGTGATACCCATCCCCACACTTGTGACCCTTTTGTGAGTCCACATGCTTCCAGGTCCACCTCTCCATCCAATCTTCTCTCCAGCCTCGCTCTCCTGGCTTCTAGTTGCCATTTTCCCTCTGCCCGAGGAACATCCTGCCGTGTTCCTGCAATGCAGGTCAGGAAAGGCAAAGTATTATTTTGTGGTTTTTGCTGTTGCTGTTCACCTAAAATGTGTTTACCCCATGGCTATAAACATGGTATGTGTGTTTTATTAGGTGTAGGATCTCATGCTGGCCAGTACTTTCTATTAGCACATGGAAAATATTATTCCAGTGTCTAACTACGTATTTTTTTTTGAAACTGGGTTTTATCCTTACTTCTTTAAAATGCCTTTTCTTCCTGTTGTTAACATTTCCTGTCTTTATTTTTCAGCATTTGTACAATGATATAATTAGATGTCATTATCTTTGTATTTATTCTGTATGGGGTTTGGATCAAGTGGGTTTTTTCAGTCTGTGGTGTGATGGGTTTTGTCAGATTGTGGGTCAGTCCTGGCCATTTCTCTTTATATATTCCTTCTCTATTCTTGCTTTCTCCTCCTTCTGGATGTCTTGTTGCAGGGACTTTTGGCGTTTTTCTTTCCTTCCGTATGTCTCCTAGTCTTTTTTATATTTCCTGCCCGTTCATATCTCCACGTTTTGTAGTAGGTCTTTTCTTCTAGCTTACGAAGTTCAGGTTACCAAGCATCTCCTTTGATGTATATATCCTTTGTTTAAATAGTTTGTCGCCCGTCAAAACTCCCAACCTGTATTTATTAGTTATTCTGGAGTCTGTTCCTGATAGTCCTATTAGTTACACAGTCTCTGGGTCTTTTCTACTATTGTCTATTTTCACTTGATTATCAGTCATATGTTCTTCTCCTACCTGGTAGTTTTTATGCTGTGCTGGACATTCTCCATGAAGAACTGAAGTCTCTTCCTCCACACAGCCCTGTATAGCAGGCAGGTGCCAATTTCAGGTATTAGCAATCCCAGGTCACCTGAATTAAATCAGTGGGTTGACATTCTTTCCTTACTGCTGTGATGAACTGCCTGACAGGAGCAGCTCAGGGAAGGGAGGGCTTGTTTTGGCTCACAGTGTGGAGGTACAGTCCATCATGACGGGGAAAGTGCAGACGGCACCAGGGATATGAGCTGGCTGATTCCACCCAGGAAGCAAAGCCACATAGATGCTAGCATTTCAACTCCCTTCCTCACCCTGGACTACAGGGATGTGCTGAAGTAGAATAACATTGAAAAGACCAATGATTAAATATTGATTTGTTGATTTACTTAGTCACCACTTTGTAACGCTAAGCACAACATCACTTGCTACCTGGAACATAATGGTTTGGAAAAATAGCTAAAACAATAGGTCATTGCCCTTAACAAGCCAGTGGCTGCCTCATACACTTGTGTAAAACCCTGGTTGCTTGCCCACCCACCCCACCTTGTGTGGTTTTTGCTATATATATATATATATATATATATATATATATATATATATATATATATGTTTGTGTCCAGTTGAAATAGGGAAAGACCTTACTTCAATATTTAAGGAGGAGAGCAATGAGGTTGTGTATATATATACACACAAACTGGATCCAGGGGGATCCTTCAGGAGTTGTCCTGGTGTCCACCTACTGTGACATCTCTCTGCCACTCTCACTGGTGTTGAAGCCCTTATTCCAGAAGATTCCCTAAAGGGTGCCATCCACAATCAGGGCAGGTCCTCCCATTTCATTCAGATCCTCTGGAATGCCGTATAGATACACCCAGAAGTCTGTGTGAATCCCATCAAAGTAACAATGAATGGCAGCCATCAGAGAGCCTGTAGGCTAGAGGTCAACTCCTGCTACTTCTCACTCCCATGGTGTATGTGGTCTTTGAGGTTGTCACTGAAAGAAAGGCCTGCAGTGGTTTTGTTTGTTTCCTCAAAGGTTCCCTTCCATGCTGGCTTCTGAGTTCCAATTTTAGTTTCTCTATCCAGAGACTCTGTGTAAGTTATCTATCTTATAGTAGGTAAACTATACCCAAATACTGCTTTAAAAACAAAACAAAACAAAACAAAACAAAACAAAACAAAACAAAACAAAACAAAACAAAACAATATAGAGCAACCTCCTTTCCTATCCACTACCCCTCCAAACCTGGATCTCCTCATATAACTCAGGCAAGCCTGGAATCCTCCTGCCCTAGCTTCCTGAGTGTTGGGATTACAGGTATGAATCTGGCCCAAATGCTCATCTCCTTGCTAGGCATGTTCTCCTGGCACTCAGTCCAAAGATGGGAAATTACTCACTCAGCCGGCAGATATCTTATTTTCAAACATTTTCCTTTCCCCTTTCTCTCTCTCTCTTTTTTAATGTATGTGTATGTGTGTGTGTATGTCTGTGTGTATGGTGTATATGTGTTTATTCACGTTCAAATGTGAACATATACACAGATATATCCCCATGTTTGAGCATGTACACGTGTGTGCTCGAACCTGTGTGTGTGTGTGTGTGTGTGTGTGTGTGTGTGTGTAGAGGTCAGAGGTGACATCAGGAGTCTTCCTTGATTGCTCTCCTCCTTAAATATTGAGGTAAGGTCTTTCCCTATTTCAACTTGTCTAGCTAGGCACCTTGCTCTAAGGATCTGTTGTCCCTGCCTTGGAGTGTTAGTGGTTGTGGGAGGTTTTTCACACCCATAGTTTTTCTTTTGCATAGGTGTGGGGATCTGAGCTCTACCTGCTGAGCCATCTTCCCATCTATGGTTTTACCTGCTCTCAAATGAAAAATAGGTTGAATGCAGCAGAGGACTTTCTATTTTTGATGTTGTATTTCATATCTTCATTCTATGGTTGACTATGAGGTAGAGATTCCACTGGCCTACTTCCTTTGTCTCTTGGTTTTGTTGGGTCAAGTCCCCTACTGAGTTCTATCCCCCACCCACTCCCTACCTCTCATCACCAAGTCCTGACCAACACCCACCTTCTGTCTGTCTGGGCCCTGGCCAGGCCTAGCTAGGGAGCGTTAGGGTTAAGGCTAAGTTAAGAAGGGACGGTTCTTTATCTAGTTCCCTTTCACTTACTCTTGAGAGTTCTTAGCGATCGTTTTCTATCAGAGGGAGACCCCACTCTGTTTTTCTTTTCTTTCTAACTTAACCTTGACTTTTTAATCCCATGAAGATCTTTCTTCAGGCCT